CTTACATCCAGCTAGATGTAAGGTGCAGGCACTCAGGGACCTATGTCCATCTGTTCCTTATCCTTAGCACTTAACAAAGTACTTACTACAGAGTAAGTAAATACCTTTTAACAAAATTTTACTTTATTGAATATTTTAAATAAATTTTTTAAATATTTTAAATGAATGAATAAACAAACAAATCCATTGTATTTAAAATCAACTAAGACACACTTCACAGCAATACTGGAAGAGTTTTTTTCTATTTAAAGTAACTCCTGGAAAGAAACTAAGTAATACTTTCCAGGATAATTGATCTGGGAAGGAAATAGGTTTTTAATAAGTAGGATTGATCATTGTTGGCAGGTTCTTTTAAAGACATAATACGAATTATGTATTGGCAGAAATTAATTATCTAAAGTAATATGCTTAAAGTACTCTGTGCATGAAAATCTGGCAGTGGGCTTCCTGTTAAAGAACATTTATGTTATGTAAAAATGTTAGGCATGTAAGCTAATTCTTATCCTTAGGTGGAACATGTCTAAGAAATAACCTTAGAGTAAAGCCTCATTAAAATTGCTGCATTGTCATGATTAAAGAAGTAAGATATGGGCCTGCTGCTGTGACTCACTTTGTAATCCCAGCTATTCTGGAAGTGGAGATTGGAGAGTGGAGATCTGAGGTCAGCCTGGCAAAAAGTGAAACCTTACCTGAAAAATAACTAAAGCAAAAAGGGCAAGGGGTATGGCTCACATAATAGATGAGGCCCTGAGTTCAAACCCTAGGACTGCAAATAAATAAATAAATAAATAAAGTAAAAGATATTCTGAAGAACTTTGTGTTCTGGTCTTGTTTGTTGCCTAAAGAACACTGGAGAGGCCAGTTCTTCCCAAAATGAAAATTTAAGCCAGTGTCAAGAGTCCAGGAATGACAGGCATATGTGTATCTCAATCTTCCTTGCCACATCACCTGGGAGGAGTAAAAACTATTGTGAAGGAAAGCAAACACCTTCCACCCTTCTCTTGAGGGCCTGGGACTAAAAGTGGTAGAACCCAGAAGATTTGATAAATAGATAGATAGACAGACAGATTAGAAAGATTGATAAATTCTTGAAGTCATCCATCTTTTGAAAAAAATAATAGCTAAAATTTATTTTAGAATATATATAAACTCTTTACGTTTTAGTTCATTTAATCTTCAAATAATCCTATAAAGGAGATAGTATTATTACAATCCCCATTTTACAGATGTAGAAAGGCTCATGGAGGTGAAGTGGCTTGCCCAAGAATAAGATTTAAGTATGCCTGGCTCCAGGATACTGTTAACGATACCCTATGCCTTACATGTGTGTAATCTCTGCAAGCAGGACATGAACCATAGAAAAAGATGCAGACCTCAACCCTCCCTTTCAGAAAAAAAAAAAAAACATAAAACAATCATGTACATTGTAAGAGGCACTGGACTGAAGCAGTAAGTGTCCAGCTCTGGAGTCAGGATGCAGCATTCAATCCCTGCACTGTCACTTGCTAGGCTACTAGGCAATCTTGGAAAAACTATGCATAGCAATCTTGGAAAAACTATGCATAGCTTTTGTATTTGGGGTTTTTTGGTGAGATTGAATAAAAAAAGAACATGAAAAACACATAGAATAGCACCCAACACTCAAGTACTCAATTAATGTTGGGTAATAGGAAAATCAGTTTTGAATCCCAGGCCCAAACTCCTGGGCTTCCACATTTCAGGTCTGGTCACTCACCCCTATACACTAAATAGAAAGGCATAGCGAACTGCCAATTAATGGATTAAGAAAATTTCATATTATAACCAACTTGTCTTTGACAAAGGCGCTAAAAATATATGATGGAGAAAAAGACAGACCTCTTCAACAAAAACTGCTGGGAAAACTGTTAGCAGTCCTGAAAAAAAACTGAAATCAGACCATGTATATCCATCCTATACCAAAATTAATCCAAAATGATCAAGGATCTTAATATCAGACACAAACTCTAAATTGACAGAAAGAGTAGGAAAATACTCTGGATTAGTAGGTATAGGTAAGAAAACTTTCTCAATGGACCCCAGCAGCGCAGCAACTAAGAGACAGCTTAGATAAATGGGACTTCATAAAAGCTTCTGCTCATCAAAAGCAATGGTCTCTAAACTGAAGAGAACACCCACAGAGTGATAGCAAATATTTGCCAGCTACACATCAGACAAAGGGACTGATAACCAGAAACTATAGGGAACTTAAAAACTAAATTCTCCAAAAACTAATGAACCCAATAAGAAATGGGCAAGTGAACTAACACAGAACTTTCTCAAAAGAAGAAATCAAATGCCAAAAAACACATGAAAAAATGCGTCGCCATCTCTAGCAATAAAGAAATGCCAAATTAAAACCACACAGATTCCACCTCACCCCTGTTAGAATAGCCATCATTAGCAACACCACCACCAACAGGTTTGGCACTTTCTCAAAAGAAGAAATTCAAATGGCCAAAAAACACATGAAAAAATGCTCGCCATCTCTAGCAATAAAGGAAATGCAAATTAAAACCACACTAAGATTCCACCTCACCCCTGTTAGAATAGCCATCATTAGCAACACCACCACCAACAGGTGTTGGCAAGGATGTGGGGAAAAAGGAACCTTCTCACACTGTTGATAGGAATGTAAACTAGTACAACCACTCTGGAAAAAAATTTGGAGGCTACTTAAAAAGCTAAACATTGATCTACCATTTGATCCAGCAATACCACTCTTGGGGATATACCCAAAAGACTGTGACACAGGTTACTCCAGAGGTACCTGCACACCCATGTTTATTGCAGCACTATTCACAATAGCCAAGTTATGGCAACAGCCAAGATGCCCCACTACTGACGAATGGATCAAGAAAATGTGGTATCTATACACAATGGAATTTTATGCAGCCATGAAGAAGAACAAAATGTTATCATTTGCTGGTAATTGGATGGAATTGGAGAACATCATTCTGCGTAAGGTTAGCCTGGCCCAAAAGACCAAAAATCATATGTTCTCCCTCATATGTGGACATTAGATCAAGGGCAAACACAACAATGGGATTGGACTTTGAGCACATGATAAAAGCACCTAAAAAGTTAGCTAGCATTTGTTGCCTAATGCAGAGAACTAAAGCAGATACCTTAAAAGCAACTGAGGCCAATAGGAGAAGGGGACCAGGATTAGAGAAAGGTTAGATAAGAATAATTAACCTAGAAGGTAAAACATGCACAGGAAATTAAATGTGAGTCAATCCCTGTATAGCTATCCTTATCTCAACTAGCAAAACACCTTGTTCCTTCCTATTATTGCTTGTACTCTCTCTTCAACAAAATTAGAGATAAGGGCAAAATAGTTTCCGCTGGGTATCGAGGGGGTGGGGGGAGAGGGAGGGGCAGGATGGGTATTAAGGGAGGGGTTAGGGGCAGGGGGGAGAAATGACCCAAGCATTGTATGCACAAATGAATAATAAAAAAAAATAAAAAAAATTTCATATTTATATATAATGGAATTTTATTCATCCACAAAGAAGAATAAAATTTTGTCATTCACAAGTAAATAGATGGAACTGGAAAACATCATCTTCAGCAAAGTTAGCTAGGCTCAGATGGCCAAAAATCACATATTCTCTCTAATGTGCAGATTATAGACCTTAAACAAATGCAGTAATATTACTGGACATGGGTCAAACACTAAAGGGAGAACATGCACGGGAGAAAGAGGGAAGGGAAAGAAAACCTAAAACTTGAATGTGGTTGATGTGTTCACTGTACAGGAGCAAATATAGTAATCTTAAACTGTCAGAGGTCACTATGGGAAGGGGACTAGGAAGTAGTGAAGAGGTCTGGTAGAGATGAACCAATGTGTGTTGCAATACACATGTGCATGGAAGTAACACTAGGAATCTCTATATATGGCTATCTTCATCTCAAACTAGCAAAAATGCTATGTTTTTCTTTTTATCTTATATGCTTTTTCTTCAACAAAATCATAGAACAAGAGGGTGGAACAGGTTCTTCCTGGAGATCGGGGGTGTCTTGGGGGGGGTAGATGGCCCAAATAATATATACACATATAAGTAAATGTAATGATAAAATTAAAAATAAATAAATAAATAAATAATAAATAAAAGGCATGGTGAAGGGCAGAGAAAGCATATTAATTACACAGCCCTGGGACATGCTGTGAAAAGAGACAAAGTAAGCACTCAGCCATCTTCATTTATCTTTTGAGTACAGTCATGAGCTTTAGCTTTAAATAAGGCAAGGAACAAAAATATGTGCATAATTAACAGTCCCAGTTGCAGATGTAGTCTCGTTGGTCATTATCTCAGTGCTTGTTATTCGAGTGTTCTAGAAAAGTTGTTTTCACTGTCATCACTTGGGGGGAGCAATCTGGTTTCCAAGACATGATTATTCCTGCTCCAGGATACAGCCTCATCATTATAGGTAATTTTTGTCATTTAGAGGGGTGGTCTATCCTGCAAGGCTCTGCTGTTCCTTAGGGATGGTTTCAGTCCCTTGTCATAAAAATGTTATTGATCATTCCTGTCCTTCCTTGATTCCAAGGTGGTTGCAGGAAAGAATGGCTCAGAACAAAGGACAAAAGGTACAAAATGGAGTTGGAGATGCCAAGAATTTCCTGTTTTTAGTTAATTCATGGGCCCAAGTAAAGAAGCAGTGCTTTTTAGCAAAAACAGTTTAAGGACCTCTTACAATATTACTTTCCAATCAAAACCCTCTTCAAGCCCAATGTTATGGATGGTCTTCAAATACAGGATAACTTATACAATGTTTAATACCCTTTCATGTTAGAACAAAAGGGTCATAGATTTTGAGACCCTTTGAATGGCAAAATCAGAATAATGAAAGCAGATGTCTTTCCTGGTAAACTAACTCATTCTGAGAAAGACAGAATATACATCCACGTCCGTATTATCCTAACTAGCATGGAGAAAAATTTTCTACTAAACACTGTTTCTTTTCTACTTCTTTAGGGACAGTTTTAATCCCAGGAACCACTCAGCTGACCCAGAAAGACATCCTCTACAGACTAGAATCTTCAAAAGCAAAGTGCATTATTACCAATGATGTTTTAGCCCCAGCTATAGATGCCATCGCACCCAAATGTGAAAATCTTCACTCCAAGCTAATTGTGTCTCAGCACTCCAGAGAGGGGTGGGGGAACCTCAAGGAAATGATGAAGTGAGTAGCCTTAATTATACAATAGCTTCCTCAAAAGAAAAGAATAATAAAAGCTATTCAACCCAGTAGTGATCAGACAAATGCAAATTAAAGCCACAGGCAATGTTCATAATTAGTGATTACTGCAGCATTAATACTGCTAAATAAGCTCTGAGACAGGAAGGGACCTAGGGTAGTCTTTGTAGGTTGGTATCGGAGGCAGAACCTGAGAAGGAGATGGTGTGTGAGAAGGTTATTAAGGAGTTCTCTTGGAATCAATACCCATGAAGGAAGGGAAGGATGTAAAATGGGGCAGAGGAAGAAATTAATCTTCAGTGTATTCCCTATCTATGGGACCTCTGGAGTTTGGACGGATCCTCAAAGCTGTTCTGAGCTAAAACAAGAGGTTCTGGCCTCTATACACCCACATTGATCAGTTATTGAATATGAAGTGTCTCTAAAACGAGATGTGATCTTGAAGAAGGCAGCACTCCTCAGCCACGAAAATCTCCAAAAAGGGCTAAGATGGGGGAGTAAGTCCTTTATTCCCCCAGAGAGACTAAGAGGTGCATCAGTATCAACTACAGAGCTGTTATCTCCCAATCAGACCTTCTGTGTAGGCTATCCCATTCCCTTGTGAACAGCAACATTTCTATCAGGTTGTAATAGTAAAAAGAGCATTTAATGTCAATGGGTAGAATTATAAAACTGAATTATGCAGATGTTCAAGTCCTGCCGAGGAGTGCTTCTTAGGGATCATTTAGAACTTTTGCCAGGTGCTGGCTATATCTTGGCCTGGCAGGAAATTCCCTTCTCAGAATGAGCTTTTACCTTTACTTAAGAGTTTGGGGGCATGCTTACAACTATGGACTTGTTCCTACCTCCTTTTGGTACTTACCAAAGGCTAAGTACTATTCTATTAAAAAATAATATTATTGCAATTGTGTTAAAAATAATAGCTAATATTTATATAGCGCTGATTGTGTGCCAGAAGCCGTTCCAAATACTTTAGACATGTTAACTGATTTAAATTTCACAGTGACCTAGGGGACAGATGAATAAGGTCAAATTACATAGATGAATAAGGTCAAATGCTGGTATCTGGCAGAGCTGGGTTTCTGGCTACTAGGGTTTGAACTTAGGGCTTCACACTTGCTAGGCAGGTGCTCTACTGCTTAAACCACACCTCCAGCCAGAGTTGGGTTTCAAAGGCAGCTGGTTTCTGAGCCCATACTCTTTTTTTTTATTATTGTTTTATTATTCATATGTGCATACAAGGCTTGGGTCATTTCTCCCCCCTGCCCTCACCACCTCCCTTACCACCCACTCCGCCCCCTCCCTCTCCCCTCCACCCCCTCAATACCCAGCAGAAACTATTTTGCCCTTATCTCTAATTTTGTTGAAGAGAGAGTACAAGCAATAATAGGAAGGAACAAGGTTTTTTTCTGGTTGAGATAAGGATAGCTATACAGGGAGTTGACTCACATTAATTTCCTGTGCATGTGTGTTACCTTCTAGGTTAATTTTGATCTAACCTTTTCTCTAGTTCCTGGCCCCCTTCTCCTCTTGGCCTCAGTTGCTTTTAAGGTATCTGCTTTAGTTTTTCTGCATTAAGGGCAACAAATGTTAGCTATCTTCACCCCTCCCTTGTGTGCTCTCGCTTTTATCATGTGCTCAAAGTCCAATCCCCTTGTTGTGTTTGCCCTTGATCTAATATCCACATATGAGTGAGCCCACACTCTTAACTGCTATATTTACTGTCTCTAGTGGTAAGAGATCTCTGTGTTAGGTTTTGAGAGCAACTGTCTCTATAATGGAACTGACTGATACATAGCTATAGGTACTGTTTTTAAGGGAGATAATTATGGAATCATAGACTCAACATTTGGTCTAGCTTTTTTGGACAGCCAAAAAAGGCATGCAGCTTTTCTGTATGCCTCACAGCTTGGATATTTCTATTCACTCATTCTCTGCCCAAAACTCCCAGATAAATCTGTGTGTTTCTTAGATACCTGATGAACATGTGTGCAGAGTTTACCTCCTCTCAGCTGCTCTAATGTGTGACTTATTTAGAAGCTCAATTATCCTTTGGAACTAATAGGTTTTCTTTCTCTTTCACCAGAGTCCTTTCCTCCTTCCTTGAGTAGATGCTTATAATCCCCACAGGTTTTTTTTGTTTACTATATACAGTACTGTATAGACTTGTCTTGTGTAAAGAGAAAAACTATCCTTTCAAGAGTCAGTAAACATTTTCTATAAAAGGGACAGGGTCTTTAATATTTAGGGCTTTGTAAGCCATACAGTCTCTGTCACAACTATTCAACTCTGCCATGGTAGTGTGAAAGCAATCATGGATAACATGACAATGAAAGGACATGGCTCTGTGCCAATAAAACTACTAACAAAAACAGAAGACACCTGGAGGCATGGCTCATGTTAGGTAGAGCACTTGCCTACCATGCTTGAGGCTCTGGATTCTATCTCCAGTACCACACACACACACACACACCCCCACACACACACTCCCACGTGGCACCACCGGGGCACGCGCGGGCACACACACACGCATATAAAGAGGCCAATCAGATTTGGCCTGTGGGTTATAGTTTGAAAATCCCTATCATAGCCCATGGCTTTTATTAACATTCATTTTTAATATTTACAAATTCTTCATATATCCCTGATTATAAGGTCATAGAATCCTTACTCTGATGAACTCTTGAGTTTTTTTTTTAAATGCTTCAATCCTTTTGTCTCACAGTTTAAAAACAAAACAAAACAAAACAAAAAAGCTATGAAATCAGCTACTATAAATGAGTTTTTGATAGAAAAGTTTATTATTTGATAGAAAAGTTTATTTATTTTTAGGTTCAAAAAGCACCTAAAAAGATGGAGGGAAACAGAGAGGGAAGAGGTAGCTTTTACCTTGAGATTCAATCCAAGTCACTGGGGCCTGATTCATAAAATGTAGAGGTCCAAGTAGATGGTTTCTGACACTGTGTTTAATGTGCAGAATCATTGTAGATTTTTCCGTTGCAGACATGTCAGTGATAACCACACCTGTGTGAGGACAAAACACAATGAGATGATGGCCATTTATTTTACCAGCGGAACAACTGGACTTCCTAAAATGATTGGACACACCCACAGCAGTTTTGGTTTAGGATTAACTGTAAATGGAAGGTACTTCCACAGAACCACAGTTTCAAGTGTCAAAACTGTACTGGCATTTTAAATTTGTTTTCTTACAAATTTATAAATTTAAATTTTACACATACAATTTCTACAAATATAACAAATTTATACATTAAAGTTATTCTTTGTTTTCCTAGGTTCTGGCTGGATTTGACACCTTCAGATGTGATGTGGAATACCTCAGACACAGGCTGGGCAAAGTCTGCTTGGAGTAGTATTTTTTCTCCATGGATCCAAGGAGCATGTGTATTTGCACACTATTTGCCCCGTTTCGAGACAACTTCCATCTTACAAGTAAGGCACAATGCAGGAGGTCCACATTTAGAAATGCAATAGTAGTATCACTGACAGACTTGGTAAATAAAGTAACTTACAGAGATCAGAGTAGACAACATGATTTAAGGTATTTCACATCCTCAAAGTCAATAATCCTGAAAAGATAGAGAAACAGTGTGAGTGAATTTACAAACATTTATAAACAATGTTTATATTCTATTGTGCCTACCATAGACATATTAAATACTTATTAAAGTTGTACTAAAACCAAGAGTTTGCCTTTTCAAAATTGCAGACACTCTCCAAGTTTCCCATCACAGTCTTCTGTTCAGCACCAACTGCATACCGAATGCTTGTACAGAATGATATGACTAGGTAAGATAAGTTGGTAAAACAGGCCGAGCTCCAAACTAATATGTACAGGATTTGAATATCTCTTTCTCTTCCTCCTTCTCTTCTTGCTGTAAATAATGATTGCTGTGTCCATGGCAGGCTCCTGCAAACAAGGAGAGGAAAGGGATGGTTGGGCCATGTCTATAGCTCTGAGCCTAGTGGTTCTGGTAAGAAACTAATTATTTTGGATTGCAGCTGAGACAGTAGAGAAGTTGCTCCTATTTGGAATCTTATCCTAGCAAATGGAAGAGAGAATTCTTGCTTTTAAATTTATTGTTGATTGCATTTGAAACGGCATATTGTTAGTCTGAAAAGAAAAACACCATTACACACAACTCAATACTTCTGGTCTCTAAATGTGAGGAAAATTTTCATTGTTGATTTGAAATGTTATTATGGAGTACCTTCCCTAAAGATGACATGGCTTTGTTTACAACAGATTAGTCCCTCACCCCAGCAAAAGAAGAAAAAGATAAACTGGTATTTGGGGTGTTATTTTATATTAAAATTATGTTTATATTGTACTAACAATTTTCACTTCTCTCCTTTTTCCTCCTAAACCTAACTGGTGACCTGTTTTCTGAGAAGCTATAATTTCAAAAGCTTAAAGCACTGTGTGAGTGCTGGTGAGCCAATCAACCCTGAAGTGACTGAACAATGGAGAAACAGGACAGGCCTGGACATCTACGAAGGATATGGACAGACAGAAACGGTACCTGACCCCACTGAAAAGACAGGACTGGACTCAATTTACTCTAATGAATTAAAACCAAAGTGTCTGTTATGTCTTTATGATTGTTTAAAAGATAAGGGGATGAGTGGTGTGGTTAGCAAACCATAAAAGAAAATAAAAAGCTTGATTCAAACTAGTTGCAAAAACGTTCTATAAGAGATCAGTTGCTTAAATAGCCATTCTTTTCTGAGGAAAAATGCTATTAATTAACTGATCAGGAAGAAGGAATTAAAATATTTTTAATGAAAATGTATTGGATCTATGGGACAAGGAACTTTCTTAGTCAAGGCTTCCACAAAATGGAAAACGGGTGGAGCTCCTTGTTTTATGAAATACTAAGATGTTAAGGAGTCGCTGGACGATTCCTTGGGCAAGCGTATTCTAAAGGGGTTCTTAAAAAGTTCATGGGGATAAGAATAAAAAGAAATTGCAGAGGCAATTAATGAAGTAGGAACAAAGTTGTTATTCCAGAAAGAGGAGTAAGACGGAGCAGATAAGGGAAAGGTTGGAAAGCTTTTCACAGTATGTCTTTTTATATTTCAAATTATAAACCCTGATCAAAAATTTAATTTCCAAAAGTAAATAAAAACAAAAATAAATAAATCACTTAAACAGAACCAGCATAACAAGTATCATACTAATATGTTACAAATGCTAATGCTAATATGTACAAACATTAATAATACATTCATGTTTGAATAAATATGGATATTTTGGTAATTATGAATTTATTATCTTTAACTTATTATATATGTATATTACTTTAGTAATTATAAATTTGTTATTCTCATAACTTTATTGTATTACTTTTTATATTGTCAATCTCTGTACTTTATGAAAGAAGAAACTATCTTATTTTGATCCTGGTTCATAGTAATAATTGTTGAATGAATAATAAATTATTGCTGAGTGAATACATAATAGATGAATAAATGAATTTTAAGTAACTTCTGTTACTTTACATTTTCTTTCTTCTTCTTTTAGGTGTTAATCTGTGGAAATTTTAAGGGAATGAAAATTAAGCCTGGCTCAATGGGAAAGTCTTCCCCTGCTTTTGATGTTAAGGTTTGCATACCCCCTTTCCAGGAGAATGTTTAATAACCCAATCTGTTTCCCACCTAACCCTCATATGCACTCCTTGTTTTGGTGATGATTCCATGTTACTTCTATTATTTCTATGCAGAGATCAAAATGTTAGCTTAATAGTCTCTTATTATTTTGCAAACACCTATATTATACCAGGTAGTTCTAAATTTTGTAAATATTAACTCCTTTAATTCCTAAAAGAAACATAAAGGCATGCTAATATCAGAATCATTTTATAGAAGAGAGAACAAAGCGATTAAGAAACTCACCCAAGATCACATAGCTAGTAGCCACTACTTTAAGGATACAATCTCAAGCAATCTGGCTCCATTCTCCAAACCCTTACCACAACACCTCACCCTCCTTCCAGTGAAGGTGGTCAGAACCTCCTTAGAGGATTAACGAAGCCAAAAGAAGCCCAAGTTTACAGTGGCTGGAGCACTCTCCCTCAGTGCTGCCTGGATAATTGCAGACTTTCTGTAAACACTGTCTGTGATTACTACCACCTGATGCCAAAAGGAATTCTATTTCCTCACCTGCATACTTTGCACAGGGTTAGAATTGTGCTCAGATCAACTTAGGGTTAGATGTAGATAACAGCAATGTTTCCCAAGCTCATCAGATCATAAGAATCACATGGTTACTCATTTAAAATACTAATTCTTAGGCTCTTTCCCTGGAAAGTCTGACTTAATAGATTTTGATGTGTAACCCCGAAATCTAGGTTTTTAACAAGATACATTGCTAAGTGATAAAAGCAGATTGCAAAGCTACGTATTATAAAGTGATCCTAATTTTTCCTATGTATGTGTTGTCTCCAAAGATATCACCAAAATGTAATTAATGCTGAATGGTAGACTTGTTTAAAAGTTATTTTTCTCTCACATTTTGATAATCTTCATTTAATAATATTTTATGCAATAAGAACTTAAATAAATACATTTCTCTAAGGAATTTAAGTATTTAACCATTTAAAATGTTTTCAAAGTCTGCATTCTTAAATAGTAAAGATATGCAAAATTAAGATTTAATATGTGGCATTAAATTAAAATTCCCTTAAATAAATTGTTCTGTTTACCATAGATTTTAGATGGCAATGGCAATGTTCTACCTCCTGGGCAAGAAGGAGATATTGGTATTCAAGTTCTACCTAACCGACCGTTTGGCCTTTTTACTCATTATGTAGTAAGAGTTATTTTAAAAATCTCTGTTTCTCAAAAGTTCTTGGTGGCTATCCTCATTCTCACAAAACAAACCTAGATAGGTATTCAGCCCTTTCTTGTGAGAGTCATTGCCCTGAATAGTAATCCCCTAGAAAGGAATCCCAGAAACACTCAAATGCTTGCTAAAAAGCACACTGGTCCCCTAGGCTAGGTCATCAGAAAGACAATAGAAAGGGAACTAAAGGAGGCTGTTACATCTATGTCCTCACCATTGATTGGTCCTCTGAGTTTTTTTGTTTTGGTTTTTTTGAGCCAGGGTCTCACTATATAGCCCAAACAGCCTGTGAATGAATCACTATCCTTTTTACCTTGGCCTCCTGAATACTGGTATTACAGGCATGTACCACCCATGCTCTCTTAACTGTTTATTGATTGATCCTTAACTATCAAAAAGTATCCACTTATCTTCCTGAAATCTGATTAATGCTCTCCAGGATGAGCTGGAGAAATAGGAAACGGAGCAATGGAATTAAGAAAATTAATTCTCTAGGAGCTTTCTAGCTCTTTATTGTTTGCAAGTGTATTTCATCTCTAATCATGGTATACAAATTACAGCAAAGTTTTTTATCAACATACTAAAAAGTTAAAGCCCAGGTTGTACTTGTTGGTTAACTCTACATAGGTAACAATTCTTCATTCATTTTTGTTCTTATGCCAGTTACAGACCAGTGCTTTTGGAATTATTGGGCATTGGTGCTTTTGTTTGACTCTGAGCATTCATTTCTCTTTTCCTACCTGTGTTAGGAATTAATCTATTAGCAAAGACTTAATTTAGTCCACTCCTTGGAGCCCTAGTTCCTGCAGCATTTATCTTGTGCTCTAAGAAAATTCTCAAGGAGTGTGCCTAGACTTTTAAACCACAGTTTTACCTTTCGTATGTTGGGTTAGCTTCATGCTGGAATTTCATTCCTTTTTCACACTCTGGCTCCTCTTCATGCTAAGGCTTCTCAATGTAGTCAAACTTTCTTTTTCTTTGAACATTTGAAAATTCACCTGATAAGATTCACATTCATAATAATAGCAACAAAATGCTATTTGTTTTCAGGATAATCCTTCAAAAACAGCTTCAACTCTACGAGGCAATTTCTACATCACTGGGGACCGAGGATATATGGATGAAGATGGATATTTTTGGTTTGTTGCAAGATCAGATGATATTATATTGTCCTCTGGGTAATTTTCTTCTCTCTGCACGTCTTGTTTATCTATCGTGAACCTGTGACTCACCCTTACAAATTCCTGTCATATGCTTTCCTAGTTACCGAATTGGACCATTTGAGGTAGAAAGTGCCCTGATGGAACACCCTTCAGTTGAAGAGTCAGCTGTTGTCAGCAGCCCAGACCCAATCAGAGGAGAGGTAAAAGAACTAATTCATCTCAACTCTATTATTTTGTTGGCAATCTATTGCATACTTTAAAATAGTACTTCATTGAAACAGGATTATACAACTGTTTCATTTACACAATATGCAAATCAGATAAAAATTTACTTTCTAAATGCACGTTAGATAGAAATATGCTAGTTAGAATTGCTACAGAATGAGACTGAAAAACATGCTAGAAAGAGTCCTGTCCATGGAAGGTTAGGATAAACACGGGCTGGATATCAGTTATTCAGGCTCAGTCTAGCATGAGGCTCCAGATGTCAACCGAAACAGGTAGTTAACCTTGGTCTGAAAGCCAACACACTGTTCTTGATATTGCTGAGGAGAATGGCTGGCATCAGCTATCAGAGGTGGAAGCAATGTCACATGCAGGAACTGAGGCAACCATGAGCAGGTTGAGTAAGCCAATAGAGGTATCAGGAAAAAGGTGAAGAACAAGGCAAGAGTCCTAAAAGCTGACTCCTATTGGGGCTGATCATATGGTAGTTTGGGCTTAAAGATACCATACCACTCTTTGGGCTCTTTTGGCCAGGTAGACCTCCTGGGTTTTGACTGTGTGTCTACAATATGCCTCTAGGTTTTTCTGGAGTGGCAGTATGTTCCCCCAAGTATTTCTTCAATCTTTCTTCTGCTGTCAAACCAAGCTTTAGAGATGACATTGACGTCAGTGCAAATCCAGAACTTCCTGTGCCATATACTCAAGTTCCTTATCTCAAGTCCTAGGTAGAGGGCTTGAAAGAAGTACGGAAAGAGTTACAAGGCATTCAACCTCAGGGGTTGAATAAGTCATTGACTTTAAGGCACGAATGAGAGGTATGTGTGTGTTACTATACAATGAGGGTGGCTCTCCCCATCAAGACTGATTCTAACAGATCTTTCATGCCAGAGGATAACCTATAAGTCTTCCTGGATGACCTAAAGTTGTTTTGGATACTGAGTTGTTTTGGTGACTGCTATTTGCTAGTTTCGAAAGTTGCTAGGATGAAGCTATGTACTGTAAAAGGAATAGATGAGAATAGGGAGCAGATTCATGATTAAGGAAGTTTGTCTCTTTACAGAACTCCACTGGCAGGGTTTCATGAGTCTCATCTTCTTCCACACCTCTCTGCTGTAATCAGTTTTATTCACTTAGACAGGTGCTTATTTGGGACAGGATGATTGTGGAGCCTTTAGGACCAGGGTTGCCTTGGCAGTCACCACATAGCCCAGTGTGATATAGTATAGATCTGTATGTTAGCTATAGTTCCCCCAGCTTTGGCATCTTGGTTAGGGGTTAGTACAAGCTGGCCTTGTACTTGTCATCCTCCTGCCTCTGTCTCCTAAGTGTGGGGATTAGATGCGTTGCACCACAACACCAACAGAGTAAGCCTTCAAAAGATGAAATTTTTGCAGGGCACTGGTGGCTCACACCTAAAATTCTAGCTGCTTGGGAGGCCAGCCCAGTTCAAGAAACCCTCATCTTCAAAATAACTGGAGTAGGGCTGGCTCAAGTGATAGAATACCTTTGATGACAAAAAATGGTTACTTACTCATAAAATGACGTAAAACTGCCCACTAGTGAACAATTTCGTATTATGTGAAAAATTTGTAATTGAAAGTCTTCATTTCTCACCAAATGGCTTCCCTGAGTGACTTATTGTTAATTTTCAATCACATCTTTACTCCCAGATTAAGGTACATGGGAAGTGAAGCTGAACACCTGAATTTCTGAATTTAATAAGATTTCGGTCATCTAAGTCCAGGATAGCTAATCATTAAAAAATTGAAGGGGACTCTCCTGGGACTGTAACTACAGGGCATATGGCAAATGCTGGGCTGGGAATCTGGATTTAGTAGTGCTAAATACTAGTTGATTCACCTAGTTATGCCTCCAAGAGAACAGTAACAGTGTTCACATTGCCCAGTGCCCCAGATAAGAACATGATAGTACTCCAAATAGATCTCTAAGGAGGCTACACATAAGGGATTACTTAAATTTCTCCCTTTTCCATTTAAAAGGTCCAAAAACTTTAGGCAGGATTTCCCAAAACATTTCAATGAAGGATGAGCAGGAAACAGGATTTGTGAGCATAAAGTGATGAGGTCTTTTTCCTATCTTCCCACAGTTAACGGCCACCCTCTTCTACTCTTGCTCCTCAGGGCCATATAAGTGGGTCAGAGCAACAGCAAAGTGGCTAATGGAATCTTAATAGCCTTATATAAAGAGTACCTGGTCTCAGTAAGCTGTTACCTTCAATGAGGATAAGGCAAACTGAGAACAGCTACTACTTATCAGGGCTATGCTGAATAGGGTCCTAGAAGAAAGGATGAGCCAGGATGCACTGTTACACAATAGGCTGTACTTAGTGCACTGCCAAATTTACAAGAGGAAACTTACTGAAGGAGGTAAAAGATGAAGCAAGAACTCAAGGGCAAAGGTAATTCTAAATAGGTCTGAAATAGATTTTAAAATGTAGTTAGATGAGTGAGTTTAAGAGTGATCATAAACAAAGCAGGGCCCTCACAAAGCTCTCTAATATCGGATATTGACCAGGAAGTGTGGGAGTCAATTGTTAAGAGCACAAGGCTGGAATTAAATTCTATTAAACAACTTGGATCACCCACCAGGCATGTAGATTTCCAGTTAGAGAAAGCAAACAAGACATACTAAAACATAAAATACACAATTCATCTCTGATGTTTCAAATATATATTTTTTTTTAGGTAGTAAAAGCATTTATTGTTCTGAACCCTGATTACAAGTCCTATGATCAAGAACAACTAAAAATGGAGATTCAGGAGCATGTTAAAAACATCACAGCACCTTACAAATATCCCAGAAAGGTAGGCATCCTAAATTATGATACTGCTCAGTGTTCTGGAGTATTTTCAGCTATTTACTTTTGCCTTTTTAGTGAACATTCTCCTCAAATATGCTACACAAAATGTTCCAAAACAGAGTTAATGGACATATGGATAAGAGTCAGAAATTTTTAAAGTGAAGCCCTTAATCTAACTTGGTTTGTCATTTGGTTCACTAGACTTACAGAAAATACTAAAGTCTCAATAATACCCCTTTATTGTGTATCAAAAACCCATCTCAATGGGTGTTCTAATTTACTATATTATGGGCTATCTCTAAAGTTTAGAATTTCTGGACTAATTTTCATCCCTTTGATACCAACAGGTAGAATTTATTGATGAGTTGCCAAAGACTGTCAGTGGGAAGATAAAAAGAAGTGAACTGAGAAAGAAAGAATGGAAAACAATTTAAATTCATTCAATTAATTATCATAGTATCTATAAACCATAAGATTATGAAGAGCTAATAAAAATGTGATAGTATGTTTCTAAACTCTTGATTTAAACTGTTTTGTGGTTATGACATCAGAGGAAGAATTTGGAAATCAACTATTCAGTAAATTCTTCTGTGTTATTGTCAATGATCCTGTAATTTGGAAACATAAAAAGAATGCAATCAAATGCTGTAGAATTTTAAAATCTGTATTATAGAAGGAGTTTCTGAGCCAAATCTCACCTCATTAATTTTTAAGCCTCAACTGAATAATTCTTATGTTAATATACAAATCAAAATCAATCTTTAAGCCTTGAAATAAAACTAAGTATCTTGTAAGTTTTTAGAAAAATAAAAATTATCAGATTATCATAATTCTCAAAGTATATTCCTAAAAACAGTCCAGGAATTTTTATTTGTCATTTTCATTTAAATAATTTAAGAATAGTTTAAAATTTGTTTTAAGATCTAACTTTAAAAGATGGCCATATATTATATTTACCTAAAAAATATAGTTTACAAAAGTATTTTGTTATTCCTCAAGAAAGTAAAATAAATTCAGTAAACATTAGTGTATGAAAAGTAAGCAAAATTATGTAAGACATTACCAAAATACTCATGTTTCAGAATTTAAGGAACCATTAGTATTCATACATAAACAGACAGAAGACCAAGGTTAAACAACTGGTGAAAGTGAACAGTCATGAAATTTACTTTCTCTCAGTATGTACATACGTGACATAACTGTTTCAGTATAGTCTATAGAAGTCGGATATGCTACATCTCCATAACTTATAACCCTATACTTTTTAATCTTTCCTGATGTCACATAAAAGTTATACTAAAAGTAAAAACATAGTTTAGATATAAAGAAAAATGTTTAAGTCAATTCCTCATTGAAGGTCTGAGTTTCAAAGAATTTTTAGTACAAAAACTTAAAGTTCTGTCACGAATATGGCTTGTTTCTGGAGAACTAAAAGTGAGTTCCTCTGTGGAATGAGACAGAACTATGCTGTTGACTTTTTCTTTTTGAAGTGTTTGTTCCCATTTAAAATAGCCACAACATTTTCTGTTTTCTTGGTATTTCCCAATAGGGCAACAATAGAAGACTTTTCCATGGTTTGGTCCATTATTAGAAACAACTAGTCTCTTAGATCTTCGGCCACACTTGCATAAGGGAGGTGTCATCTTTCTATTCTTCCAAGGGTCTTGTGGATTAATTGTAGATGTTAATATAGAAGGGTGAACTTTGCAGGAAGAACTTCTCATTAAGAAGCAATCAGATGACACAGGCTTTTCTTCATGAATAGTGAAGGTCTGTTTTTTTGCTGGTGGGAAAATCAGGGGACTAGATGAATTCCTTTTAGTACCACCTAAAAGAAGAGAATGTTTCCCCAAAACTGACAGTTGAGATGCATTGACATTAACACTGCTGAAGGTGCATGATTTTTGTTCAGGTGATTGAAAGGCAGAAACATCTGAACCTGAATGTTTGGCTTCTTTTACATTATAAATAGTAGTATGAAGACTCTTGTATACAATAGACTTAGAGGTCTCAAATTTTTCAGGAGTTTCCTTGATGTCTTCAAAGTTTTCTGATCCTTTTAAAACCATTGCTCTTTCTCCAGAATTAAATGAAATGTCTAAGTTTGTGTCATTACTAATAGGCATACCATTTTGCTCAGGCTGAGAGGCTGGCAGTAAAACTACATCTTCCCAGTCAGTCAACATAGGTAAACAGTTAAGGGAAGAACTCATTTCCATATCAGAAACATGATTAACAGATGGAATAGTAGTGGAAACAAGTGCCAATTTGGACCCCAATGTTGAAGACTTAGATTTGGCATTAAATGCAAGATGTTCATCTCTTTGCTTCTGCATACAGACAGGTGAATTCATGGTGGGAGATTGAAACTGTCCTAGAGAAGTAGAGTACCTGGTATTATACAGAGATAAGCAACTTTTGACATTGTGACGGTCTGCTTTTATATTTTGCTTTAGTTGAAATTGATCCTGCTGTACCTTTATAGGAGAATTCACACAAACTGAGCTCATCTGACCTTTTTCATGAGTATTTATTCTATTTTTAGTCTCTCTTTCATTTATGCTAGGACACTGGACACTGCTAATGTTGCAGACAGATGTTTCTTTAGCTTGATTTATATCCACATTTCTGTTCAAAATGCTGGAATTCTTCTTAGTAGGAACCTATGATTCCACAAACAAATCCAAAAGCTTTAGAAACTGTGCACTTTTATGATATAGTTTATAAATGATTGTAAACATGAAATCCACATTTCAAAAAACTTTCTGCTGTCACTCTGGAATTTCAGATGAAAGAAACAAAACACTACTAACCTTGTGGATGGTTCTTGTAATTCTCATTAGGCAACCATCCCTGATCATTTTCCAAGCAAGAAGAGCGGTATTCCGAGAATCATCTAACCCTGAGGGAATTGGTAACAAACTGAATTTAGTGGTACTAGTATAAACAAATAAAAGTAAAGAAAAATACCACTACTTAAATAGAAATTGGAGCATATTGTTGGTTTTACATTAATCTCCTAATTTAAATTATAACAAGTTAGTCTGTGGGAAACTATGGCAGCATTACCAACAAAAGATAAGATCTCCCATATTTACAGAGGAGGATGTAGAAATTTGTTAGACAAGTTCAAAAAATGTAACCAGCATTCTGTAGGGACCATGGTTTGTGAGTAATCAAACAGTCTTGTTCTGTTTTTTTCACTATATAATTTGGGCACTTGTTTAGTTTCTATTTAATTTGGCTAATTCATTCATTCTTTTCAGCAAATAGAAAGCCACTAGATGGCAGTCTTTATCTTATATAGTTCATGAAACTGGTAATTTGAGAATCAGAAAGAATTTGAATTGTACAGATTAGGAGTTTTATTTTTAGGGTGAAAGATATTCCTTATTAGTGGCACTATGAAAATTGAGATTCATATGAAATATTTTACAAAAGTAAAAGGCTTACATATTTTCAATTTATACGAACCAGAATGTTCTCGTCCAGAGAATTCTATTCCTACTTCTTGCAAAGCACCACTTAGTCCTTTGGGTTTTCTTCTATAGAAAAGCTAATGAGACAGAATAAATATAATAAACATGTAAAAATATATCTAAAATATGTACATATTTATTTATTATTTAGAAGGTTATATATTTTTAATTCTATCAGATTTGGAATGTGCTTATTTTTGTTTTTAAATACTTTTAAGACTTGTACCTGCATTAATATTCCAAAACAATATTATTTTATTTGTAGAAATCCATACCCATGTATGGGATAAAATGCAGTAATTTTTAATAAAAGTTAAAAAGTGAACATGCCTCTACCTTTGACCCTTACCCTGTAAGTTGCTCTGAGATCAATCCAATAATTTAAAAACACAGGTTTAAACAGCTGTTTTCTTTTACACTCATACTCCAGGCAAACCCCCAAGTCCCAATCTGCATTAAGAATATTAAAATAGAAAAGGGTAAATGATGCCCACATTTTTTCATTAACAAATAAAATATGGATGATGTAAAATGGAACAGTAAATTTAATTGCTCTGCTAATAATTAACAATTATTTATATACTTTACATTATTTTATACTTAAAATTACTACTAAGAAATTACATTGGTGACTGTTTTAAAACGATGTTTCTTAGACATCTAATAAAACCTTTTTTTCAGAAAGAGTAAGATATTAAATTACAAAGCCTGTATTTCCATATTTTGGGAAAATATAAATGTAATTGAGAAATTATAGACATTTTTTAGAAACATGAAGCTAAATATGACTGTCAGTCTATGCTATCAAAGATACAGCTATTACCAATGACTATAAATAGCAAAATTATATCATGGTAATACAAAAGACCTACTTTAAAGGGTTCGTTTTTTTCTTGATGTCTATATTAATAGGTATCAAAGCATAAAATCAAAGGATATGAACTGAAAGAGGACTCTTTTTAGCAAGGTGTTGTGGCATACGCCTATAATCCCAGCATTCAGGAGACTGAGGCAATAGGATTAAGAGGTTGAAGCCAGCCTGGTCTGCACAGCAAGATCATGTCCCACCACCCTCACCCCCCAAGAAATCTGCTGGACACCAGTGGTTAATGCTTATAATGCTAACTAATTGGAAGGCTGACGGCAGGAGGACTGCTGTTGAGGCCAGACCAGGCAAAAAAAATTTCCAAGACCCCATCTCAAGGTGCAAGGTGTGGTAGTGGTGATGGGGTAGGGATGGGGAGACAGGGGCACTGGGCATGGCACATGCCTGTCACCCTGAAAGGGTGGCCAGGGCAAAAAAAAAAAAAAAAATCCACTTCTTTTTAGTCAAGGCTGTAGAAAATAGCATGAGTTTTCATTAAATCAACTCTGCCTGAATTCAGAAGAGGAGAGAGGAACATCAAGAAATATCCATCCATCCTTTTCTTTCTTCCTTCCCTCTGCCTCCTCTCTTCTCTCCCCCTGCATTTTTTTTTTTTTAACTTTAAAGGCAGGGTCTCACTATGTTACCCAGGCTAGGTTTAAATCTCTGGACTCAAGCTATCCTTGTGCCTCAGTATCCTGTGTAGCTTGGCATGCAGGCATATACCACTTTGCCTAACTTAGAATGATTCTTAAAGTTAAAGTTTAAACTTTATGGTATCCCAGAATCATGATGTTAAAAACATGAATCTACTTTTCTTGGTTAACATCTGCTAGACACTTGGATTTCTTTTCCTGGACCAGGAGATTAACAAGTATAAAACCAGAAATAAAGAATTACATAGTGGTAGTGCTATCCATTTGTGATTGGTAAGCATAACTCATTTTTTTACCTGACCAAGTAACAAATGCACATAATTTTACTTCAGAAGTAGAAGAATCGGAAACCCCAGTAGCAAAAATAATTTTCTTCTGTTGCTGAATCTTATGAATCCATTTACAGAACTGAGATAAGCAAATCTTCAGAGGGGCTCCTTCATCAACTTGAGCCTGATTAGAGAGCCACAAAATCTGCATTCAACAATTGAATTCTGTTATTGTCAAGCATGTATTATAATTATACACTGTAGGAAGATATAACAAAAAAGAAGTTCTCAATGACAGAGTGAATATCTAGTGAAAAGATGTTAAAAATACTGTAATGACTAGAACTCTCCAAGGTAAGAAAATTAAGGTTGAGAAGTCTAAAATCACACAGAAATATAATCACTAAATTCAGACTGACAGAAATAAGACATTTAAATCATTTAATTTCCATAAAATAAATCTGACCTTTGTGTGTGTGTGTGTGTGTGTGTGTGTGTGTGTGTGTGTTGCAGGGTATCAAGCCAAGAGCTTCATGCATGCTAGGGCAAGCACTAAGCTATACTCACAGCACTCATTTTCATGTTCATAGCACTATTTTTTGAATTTTTAAAGATTTCAGTGGCCTTCTAGAGGGCATATTATTTCTCCTAACACTAAAATCTAATTCCAAATGTCATATAGCTGTTAGTTTCTTTTTGAAACCGATTTTTCAATTTTAAAATTTGCATCATACCTGCTTTATACCTGTCAGTTCCATGCAAAATTTAGAAAGAATTGGGTATTCTTGAGGCTGAACATAAGCATGAAATTCAGATTCAATCTCTCCAGTTGATGTGTTCAGCAATACTGCTGGAAATTCAACTAAATGAGAGAACTATCAATTAGCACTTGAATATGCAATGTAATCACCATAAATTAACTATATTACTATATAATAGCATCATTATTATAAAAAAATCCACTTCGGTAAAAGCATATTAGAATGGTGAAACCAGTGTGACAAAGTTATAATAAAGCTATGCCAAAGTATAATTAAAAATATTGAAGTTATGTGCATATATATATTTATATTTCCACAATTAAATATTAAGACCATATGGAAGTTGAAATGTAATTTTTTTGCAAAGATATTTATGCAATTAAGGGTTTATGTATAATTCTAGGCAAAAGCCTGACTATATTTTTTCTTTGTTTTGGCAGTACTGGGGTTTGAACTCAGGACCTTATGCTTGCTAGGCAGGAGCTCTACCACATGAGCCATTCCACCAGACTTATGTATAATTCTAAAACAATTATTTTATATGGTATATTTAGGTAGCTGGGATTTTGATTTTTTTTTTTTAGTCAAGATACATTTTATATGAAACTAACAATTCATGGACATCCTCATTTCTTAAACTGTTAGTTTATATCTATAAACTTTAAAATGATTCATCTAGTGCTAGTTTTGGTCATTGGCAGTCCAGACTTACTTATTTCCTGGCTATTGTGGCACTTCCCATCATTCCAGCATGTAGACTCAAAATCAATGACAATTAAGTAGTCATACAATTGTTCTGTAAAAGATCGGGATTTCTTAGACTTTATTAGTATTTAAAGTGCAAGGCTGTAAAACGTAAAGAAACTAAGCACAATACTTACTGGATTTGCTTCTTCCTAAATTCCCCTTCCCTGGTGCAACTGACTTTCTCCTAATCAATCCAAGCTGCCTAAAAATGTAAAACAACTCAATAAAATTAGTAAACTCATTCACACTCCTGTTTGAATAGCTACCAAACTCACAGAAGTAGAACAAATGTTTGCCATTAATGTACTATGATTGAAGGGAAACAGACTTAGATTTTAGGAATGAAAGACCTGGGTTCTTGAACTAAGTGCCATCACCTTTTTATTTTAGTAGTCATTTTCTCTGTATGGGCCACAAAGTATGTATTTGCAGCCTGCTCTCCTTATCTTATAGCAATACTGAGGAACTCAAATGACTGTAAAGATGCACTAAAAAGCTTCAGCTTTTTTCTCTTTGGATTTTTCAAATCCTTGCTGAGTATACAGTACATTTCTGAGGAGATAAGAATAACATAAGGCATGGTACTATCTTTTAGTAACTTAAAAAATCTAGTAAGAGAAGGGATTCCAAGATGGCGACAAGAGGGAGGAAGCAGAAAGCATGCTTCCTAAAGTAAAATCTTGGAGAGGTGCTGTACATAAACCTTGCAGGAAAAACCACCAAGAAGAGGTAAAACTCCAACAGCACCACACACCCAGCCCAAGTATGGCATCTCCACTCCATGTTAAACAGAAACCGGGAGGGCTCTCGCGCCGCCAGATGCCAGCGCCTAACATGCTTGGAAGAAGCAGACCACCAGGTAAGCTAAGTGGCATGCAGTACTCCCACAGACAACCCTGGGCCAGATCAGCATAGCCCCCTGGACAGACCGACCCCCACCCTGGGAAAAAAGAGAAAAAAAACTGAATAATAAATAATAACAATAAAAAAGACACAAGGCAAAGAGGGCGGGGTGCCCTGAGCTCCAAAGAGGGGGTGAGGGGCAAATCCTCACAGAACTGTAAATAAACAGGCTAGCCAGAGAAGGCAGGAGTGGTGGCAGCCACCCAGGAACCAGGAGCAGGAAACCTTGTAAAAGTGGCAATGGGAGGAAAACTCCACAGGAGAGGGGGGAAGTGTCACTTCCCACATGAACTGTAAATAAACACGCTGGCCGGAGAATGCGTGTGCAGCGCTACCTCCCCCAGTGTGCTTGGACAGGGGAAAACTTATAAAAGTGGCAGTCCAGCCAGGAGAACTCTAAGTAAACAAAGCCTGAGGGGCTAGATGAGTGCTAAGCTCACTCCTGAGATCTGCAATCAATAAAGCCTCCAGCAACAGTTGGCTGACAGTAGCAGGCAGGTAAGCCGCAGCCTCAGATAGACATTCACAAAGCTGTCTCCAGACTTTTTTTTTTTCCTCTTCTTTTCATGAGACAACAACTGAACTATACCTGCATGCTGAAAAACTTACTGAAACTGTATCCATCTGAACATGGGACACTTTGTTGTGTCTTTTTTTTTTGCTTTTTTCGTTTTTTTACTTTTGACAAGACAACATCAGAACTACTTCTGAGACACCATCTCCAGGATTGGAAGCGGAGGAACTAACACCAAAATTATTAAGATTGAAATTTTATTACATTTGAACTTGGAGATTTTTATTTTATTTATTTATTTATTTATTTATTTATTATCCTCTTTCTCTCTAAGGCCTGTTTAGCTTACTGTTGATTAGTACACTATCTCTCCCTGTTTATATCTTTGACACGGTTTTTGTTTTGTTTTGTTTTACTTGTTTATTTGTTTTTCCCTTTTCTTTAACTTCTTTGCTTTTCCACTCCTCTCACCATTCCATTCTAAATATCACCATTGTTATTATTACAAGCTAGAAAATACTTAATTGCACACAATACAGGGACAGTAGTAATACCAAGGCCAGTGATGGGAAACAGAAAAAAACAAGGAAACCAGTTTCCACACAGCAAAAAATAAGTACAGGAACCAGAGGGAAATGAAGAAAACAGATACTCAGATCCAGACTCAACAAAACAAAGATAAATTATGCCAAAGAACACAATGAAGTCCACAAGAATAATCTGAAATATGAAATCCTCCAAGTAATCAATGAGAATTTTATAGAGATGATACTGGATATGGTCAACCAAAATGTACAGGAGACACTCAAGAAATTCCAAGACAACAAAAATAGAGAATTTGAGAAAGCACAAGAAGAAATAAAAGAAACCATAGAAGCACTCTATAAACAACAAAGTGAAACAAAGAACACAATTAATAAAGAGATAAATGAACTCGGAACGAAAACAGACATTAAAGAGGAAGCGACTCAGGATATGGAAAACCTCAGAAAAAAGAATGAAAAGAAATGCAAAACAAAATTGAAGGTCAATCAAGCAGAATAGAACAAGCAGAAGACAGAATCTCAGAACTCGAAGATGAAATGGTAATTAAAGGAAAAACCAAAGAACTATTAGTTAAACAACTCAAGACCTGTGAAAAGAAAATGCAAGAACTCACTGACTCCATCAAAAGTACAAACCTGAGAATCATGGGCATTGAAGGAGAAGAGGTGCAAGCAAAGGGAATGTGTAACATATTCACAAAATAATTACAGAAAATTTCCCAAATCTAGAAAAATCTATGCCCATACAGATACAAGGGACCTGCAAAACACCAAACAGACAAGACCAAAATAGAACTAACTCATGGCCTATTATCATTAAAACAACAAATACAGAGACTTGACAAAGAATACTGAAGGCTGTAAGAAAGAAAAAACAAATAACATACAAAGGTAAACCCATCAAAATCACAGCAGACTTCTCAACAGAAACATTAAAATCAAGAAGAGGTTGGGGTGAGATCTTCTGGGCACTGATTGAAAATAACTTCAACCTAGGATACTCTACCCAGCAAAACTATCATCAAAATAGATGGAGCAATAAAAGTCTTCCATGATAAGCAGAAACTAAAACAATATGTGACCACAAAGCCACCACTACAAAAGATTCTTCCATGGATTTTGCACACACAAAGTGAAACCCAACATAACCACGAAAGGGCAGGCAGTACCAAACTACAGGAAAAGAAAAAGCAAGAAAGTAGAGAGTAACCTCGATTTCAGTACTCACAATAAAACCTTCAAACAACTAAGACAACTAAGTGACAGGAATCACCACATACCTATCAGTACTAACACTTAATGTTAATGGACTTAATTCCCCCATCAAAATCCAGTTTGACAAACTGGATTAAAAAGGAAGATACAACAATTTGTTGCTTACAGGAGACCCAGCTCACTGACAGAAATAAGCATAGGCTTAGGATGAAAGGCTGAAAGAAGATTTACCAAGCCAATGGTCCCTGAAAACAGGCAGGAGTACCAATACTTATCTCTGACAAAGCAGACTTCAAACCTACATTGATCAAACGAGATAAAGAAGGACATTCCATACTAATAAAAGGGGAAATAGACCAAAAGGAAATAACAACTATCAACCTATATGCACCCAATGTCAACATACCCAATTTCATCAAACATACCCTGAAGGGCCTAAAAGCATATATTAACTCCAACACAGTGGTTGTGGGAGACTTTAACACCCCATTATCCTCAATAGATAGGTCATCCAAACAAAAAGTCAATAAAGAAATCCTAGATCTAAAATATACAACAGATCAAATGGACCTAGTAGATGTCTATAGAACATTCCATCCAACTTCTACACAATATAAGTTCTTCTCAGCAGCCCACGGAACCTTCTCCAAAATAGATCATATCCTAGGGCACAAAGCAAGCCTCAGCAAATATAAGAAAATAGAAATTATACCATGCATTCTATCTGATAACAATGCAATAAAACTATAACAACAAAAATAAAGACAAAAAACATGCAAACAGCTGGAAACTTAATAACTCATTGTTTAATGAACAATGGGTCATTGATGAAATAAAAGAGGAAATTAAAAAAATTCCTGGAAGTCAATGAAAACGACAACATAGCCTACCAGAACCTATGGGACACAGCAAAGGCAGTCCTGAGAGGAAAGTTTATAGCCATGAGTGCATACATTAAAAAGACTGAAAGATACCAAATCAATGACCTAATGACACATCTCAAACTCCTAGAAAAACAAGAACAAGCAAAGCCCAAAACAAATAGAAGGAGAGAAATACTAAAAATAAGAGCTGAAATCAATGAAATAGAAACCAAAAAAACCATACAAAGAATTAATGAAACAAAAAGCTGGTTCTTTGAAAAAATAAACAAGATCGACAGACCGTTATCAAGGATGACCACAATCTCCACTCCTATTCAACACAGTACTGGAATTCTTAGCCAGAGCAATTAGGTAAGAAGAAGGAATAAAAGGAGTACAGATAGGTAAAGAAACTGTCAAAATATCCCCGTTTGCAGGCAATATGATCCTATACTTTAAAGACTCAAAAAACTTTACTCAACAGCTCCTAGACACCATCAATAGCTATAGCAAGGTAGCAGGATATAAAATCAACATAGAAAAATCACTAGCATTTCTATACACTAATAATGAACAAACTGAGAAAGAATATATGAAAACAATTCCACTTACAAGAGCCTCAAAAAAACCTCAAATACATGGTGTAAACTTAACAAAGGATGTGAACAACCTCTACAAGGAAAACTATAAGCTTCTGAAAAAAGAGATTGAGAAACACTATAGAAAGTGGAGAGATCTCCCAGGCTCATGGATTGGTAGAATCAACATAGTAAAAATGTCTATACTCCCAAAAGTAATCTACATGTTTAATGCAATTCCCATCAAAATCCCAATGACATTCATCAGATTGAAAAATCTACCGTTAAATGTATATGGAAACACAAGAGGCCACAAATAGCCAAGGCAATATTCAGTAAAAAGAACAATGCTGGAGGTATCATGATACCCGACTTCAAACTATATTACAAAGCAATAACAATAAAAACAGCATGGTACTGGCACAAAAACAGACATGAAGACCAGTGGAACAGAATAGAGGACCCACATATGAAGCCACACAACTATAACCAATTTGTCTTTGACAAAGGCGCTAAAAATATATGATGGAGAAAAAGCAGCCTCTTCAACAAAAACTGTTGGGAAAACTGGTTATCAGTCTACAAAAAACTGAAACTAGATCCATATATATTACCCTATACCAATATTAACTCCAAATGGATCAAGGATCTTAACATCAGACCACAAACTCTAAGTTGATACAGGAAAGAGTAGGAACTACTCTGGAGTTAGTAGGTATAGGTAAGAACTTTCTCAATGGAACCCCAGGAGCACAGCAACCAAGAAATAGCATAGATAAATGGGACCTCATAAAACTAAAAAGCTTATGCTCAACAAAAGAAATGGTCTCTAAACTGAAGAGAACATCCTCAGAGTGGGAGAAAATACTTGCCAGCTACACATCAGACAAAGGACTGATAACTAGAATATATAGGGAACTCAAAAAACTAAATTCTTCCAAAATTAATGAACCAATAAAGAAATGGACAAGTGAACTAAACAGAACTTTCTCAAAAGAAGAAATTCAAATGGCTAAAAAAAACATGAAAAAATGCTCACCATCCCTAGCAATAAAGGAAATGCAAATTAAAATATTAGAATACCCATCATTAGCAACACCACTAATAACAGGTGTTGGCAAGGATGGCGGGGCGGGGGGCGGGGGAGCCCTCTTACACTGCTGGTGGGAATGTAAACTAGTACAACCACTCTGGAAAAAAATTTGGAGGCTACTTATAAATCTAAACATTGATCTACCATATGATCCAGCAATACCACTCTTGGGGATATACCTAAAGAATGTGACACAGGTTACTCCAGAGGCACCTGGAGTAACTATTGCAGCACTATTCACAATAGCCAAGTTATGGAAACAGCCAAGATGCCCCACTACTGACAAATGGATTAAGAAAATGTGGTATCTATACACAATGGAATTTTATGCAGCCATGAAGAAGAATGAAATGTTATCATTTGCTGGTAAATGGATGGAATTGGATTACATCATTCTGAGCGAGGTTAGCCTGGCCCAAAAGACCAAAAATTGTATGTTCTCCCTCATATGTGGACATTAGATCAAAGGCAAACACAACAAGGGAATTGGACTTTGATTACATGATAAAGGGAAAACACACAAGGAAGGTATGAGGATAGGTAAGACACCCAAAAAACTAGATAGCATTTGTTGCCCTCAATGCAGAGAAACTAAAGCAGATTCTTTAAAGCAACTGAGGCTAATAGGCGAAGGGGACCAGGAACTAGAGAAAAGGTTAGTTCGAGAAGAATTAACTTAGAAGGTAACACACATGTACAGGAAATCAATGCATGTCAAATCCCTGTATAGCTATTCTTATCTCAACTAGCAAAAACCCTTGGTTCTTCCTATTATTGCTTATACTCTCTCTTCAACAAAATTAGAGATAAGGGCAGAATAGGTTTTGCCCAGCAGTGAGTGGCAAGTGCGGGTAAGAGGGGTAAGGGAGGGGCTGTGGGAAAGGGGGGAGAAACGACCCAAACAATGTATGCACATATGAATAAAATAAAAATTTTTAAAAATATAGTAAAAGAAACAAGACATTCATGAAACCCTTTTCAAGGTAACCTATAAGAGAAGAACCCCAAAGGCAACAGCTTGAGTCCAAAGGAGATAAACTTAGTGAATACAAGTCCTAAGTGCAGGTGAGACAAACCCTGATGAGAAGGTAGAGTGTTAACTAGGAAGACACCTGCTAGAGTTATTTTGGGTTTTTTAGAGGTGAGAAAGAAATGCAGGGATTTGGAATTAAAATAGCTAGCATTCATTATTACATAGCAGATATTAAAGAAATATATATGGTGCCCTCATTTACTCAACATCCCTAGGAGGTAGTCATTTTTGCAACCTATATTTTATGGATGAGAAAACTGACTGGGTAATTTGTCACACAGCATTGGTATGTCAACGTAGGACTGTCCAATTCTGAAGCCCATGCTAGTCTCTAATGCATTCACTGCCTTTAGAAGTCATATATGTGCACAGCGTGTGCAGGAATCAAGGGAGGCCACAATGATTCACATTATGAATTAGAAGGAGCACTTGGAAGTGGTGAGGCGAAGGGCCTGACGGAGGTAGTGGCGCTGCCCTGAGACCTTCCAACAATCTACAAGGCGCTGTCACATCCCGTTCTTTCTCAAGGCTTAGAACGGGCAGACACTGACACAAGGCCATGAAGAGAAGAACCCGGGGTAGAAGGCGGCCTGGGGCTCCAGACCCAGGCTCAGCCGGGGCCTTCCAACCGCGTTGGGAGAGTGCAGGTGGGAGACGCCGAAGCTGGGGAGAATGGAGGCCTTGGCCGCGGACGTCAGCTGCCTAGCCTTACCGCGGTCGCCAGCGCCCGACCAAAAGCAACCTCCCTCCTGGAACCCTCTAGCATACCGCGCCAACCGTTTGGTCGCCATTCCGGACACGACTAGTTGGTCCAAATCCAGCTTCCGGAAGTTGTTGGCTCTCACTTCCGGTCCGTTCAAACGTTCCGGCGCGGCGGCTGCGACTGAGGAGGCCACCTGTGCCTTTCCGCGCAGCTTTTCTTCTGCGTTTTGGAGATTCTGGGGGCGCGGGGAATGGTTTTATTCAGGGAAGCCTTTTGTAGCGTTGCTTTCCTTCTGCCTGTGGACTGAGGCGCGTTGGAACCGTTGGGGGAATCGTTTCAAATGTGACTTCCAATGCGGGTTGGTGCGACGCGGACGTCCAGTCGGCGGGAAGGAAAGGAAAAGTGGTGGCACCCTCGCTTTTCAGGGCGGCGGGGAGAGCTCGGTAAACTGTTAACTGAGGCGCAGATTCGAGGAGGTAATAAACTGCCACAGCTGTGTTGCTACCTCTTGAAGAGACAGTCCGGGCCAGGGAATCCGGTCACCGTACTTTCCTCAGTTCTAGCTGATCTTTCTCCACAGCCTCATGGAGCCACAGAAGGAAAAGACCGTGAGGCACCCCAAGAAGAGCAAGAAGAGGAAGCTGTCCCCCAACAAGCTTGGCAGGGCGACAGGGCCGATGAGACCTCGTTGGGATCTCGCGGACAGGCAGCTCGAGTTCAAGGTGAGCCACGGGGAGCCCGGGGCGGTGTGGAGCTCTCCCACCCTTGCCCCTGCGGTCGTTAGGGGTTCACCCACCATTGACCTCACCGAGACTGTTCTCTGACCCGGGAAGTGGGAATGAATGACACTGCTACTGTTGTAGTCACTGGTAAACAGAAAATTCAGATTCTTACAGCCCACGTGGATGCGTTCAGGAGGGTATGTAGACTTAGCAAGGGTGATCATAAAGCTTTACTGTTTCTAGTATCGTAAAACATCTGTGAAGGTAGAGAATATAGGGATATGTATTGAAAGCTGTTGTAAAAGGGGTATGGGAGGTAAGGGGTAAGGAAGAGTGATGAAAGGGGTTGAACCGACCAATGTAAAGTAGACTGACAGCGGGAACACACTGAGAAACCCCTTGGAACATCGACTTAAATATTAATAAAGGAAGACAAGACTGTAACATAGATACAGTGTGTGGAGGGTGGGTACTAGTGGGAGGGGGAGGGTGAATGAAGGAGATTAAGGTGAGGATATATGGTGGACGGCCTTCTTATACTTGTATATAACAGAACAGGGAACCCTCTTGCAATTGGCTTTAAATGGGGCAGGGAGGGAGTTGAGGGGAAAAGAGGATGGAAGTGATCTGACCAATGTTCAATATAATAAGCCTAATCAGAGTTGTCACTATGAATCCCCCCTAGTACAGCGAATGTATCCTAATAAAAAAGTTTTCATAATAAAAAAATTTTTACTGTTTCCCTATTTTTTTGTTTGTTTTTGAGACAGAATCTCACCATCTAACACAGGATGTCCTCAAACTCCAGATCTTCTTGCCTCTGCCTTCTGAGTGCTGAGATTACAGGCATGGGTCACCATTCCTCAGATGCTTTGTTGCCATTCTTGATTTGATTTATCATGCTCTGATTTATCTTTACAGAAAGCCCGCTTATCTACCATATTATTTGCTGAAAATTGTGAAGTAACTCATGACCAGCTGTGTGAATTGCTAAAGTATGCAGTTCTGGGGAAATCCTGTGTTCCTAAACCCAGGTATGAGATAGACTGTGATGAGAAGTTTCACACTGGTGTCTAGAGGGTCATATATGGCTTACAGACATTATGTGTTTGTCATGCAGCATATCCTGCTTTTTTGTAACAGCCACCAACAGTTAAATTTGGGGATTTCTGTATAAAAGTTCAGATTTAAGAAAAACTGAAAGATGTGACAACTGTCTTTCTTTTCCCACTGGATAACAGTTTGTGAAAACTGAACAATTTCTCATCTCTTCCTCTTTAGATGAGGATGTGTATATTCCAGTGTCCCACCTGGCCTATTTCCTTTATTCATAGTATCTGTCCACCTTAGATATTTTAGTTTGTTTCCCCTAGGGTAGATGCAGCTGAAATAACATGATGAATTCTAGTCAGTCTGTTTCTTCCTTTTACAGATAAAGGGCAAAGAGAGAATTTTACTGTTCTAATCTTGTTAATGCCATTATGAAATGTCTTGTGAAAATTGTTTTATATGTACAAATAAATTTCAAATGCATACATTTCCCTGGGGGAAGTTGTTATGAATTGGATAGATACCTCAGAACTATCTTCCTTATCAACAAATACTGCTATCAGTCTGTCAGTTTATCTAAAGCTGAATTTTTTTGAGGCCAGGTATTTGATTACCTGGTTTAGGAAGGGCTGAAGAGCAGGTGGGGTATGAGGGATGAACCTTTGTAAAGTGAGCTTAGTTCTTATTTAAAACAAATCTTAGTAGTAGATATAAATGCATTTCATTTTACTTGATTTGAATGCAGCAAATATTTATCTTGAGATCTTTATTTGAATTCTCTGCATTAGTGACTATCTTCCAGTTCCAGGTACTCACTGGGTGATGAAAAATTCCTTTAGATACCAATTTTTCCCACATGCTTCCTTTCTGTATGCCTGTACCAGACTTAAAGCACCACTCTTAGTTGTGTTAGTTTAATTTTTTTTTTCAACAGCTGGTGCCATCTTTTTCACCAAAACCATCTGAAAAAGGTGGTGGTTTTTATTCTTCAGGGAATTTTTTTATTCTTCAGGGAATGAGTCAACTACACTTCTATTTGGAATTTGGATTTCTCCGAAAGGCTTTCAGACATGTAAGATAAGAAAACTTTATATTAGGGGTTGAGTCAGGTTCAGGTCCCTCCCATCCTGAGACTAATGCATGTATTTGAGAACATACTTCCTGGCAACCTAGCTGAACAAGTAACAGGAGGGGATGTAGAAAGCAAAAGGCTTAAGAGTCATGTTGAGATTAGATTTGTTTCTGATTTTCTTTGGTAATCTAGGTAAAATAGTTATTCCCAAGATACAGTCTGTAGCTCTCAGGTTAATACTAGCCTAGTAGTATTTGGGGTTTGATGTTCTTATAAATTGTAAGATTATATAAAATCTGTGATTTTCTACTTGTCTTTAAAAAAAAGGTCATAAGATTGAGTACCGTAGGAGTGGTATCTGGAGCTGAGTAGTGCCTGTCATCTTGAGAAGAGGCATGTGTTCTCTATTGTCCCATGCCCTGCTCCATTCCCTAGTAGCCTGTTTTATCCATACACCCTGAAGGCATTTGAGTTGGTGAGCCCTAACTTAATCTACTTAAGTTTCCATTTTCTTTTTGGCTTCTATTATTGAACACTTTCTTTATACCATGCCCTATATTAATCACGCTGTGTATATCATCTTTAATTATCACAATAATCTTGTAAGAGAGATTGCTTTTTTATTCCTATTTTATACAAGAAAGTGAGAACTTGTCCAAGTACTAGTATAGGATGGAGTTCAAATTTAAGCTGGGGTAAGTCTGAGGCTAGAGCTCTGAACTTTTTTGTCCTGCTATATCACCTGTCCTGACTCCCTGGCAAGTTGTCCAATGAAATAAAAGAAATGGAAGTGCTTTGAAAAATGTAGGGATTTTCCTTCTCTAAGTTGTACATTTCTGTAGTGTTTATCCTTTTTCTTTTTTGTGGTAATAATGAATGCTTACCCTTTTTATGATATATATATAAAATGAGAGAAGAAAATTTCCAGGGGGTGGTATTGGTAGTAAATGTGGCTTCATTCACTTTTTAATATTAGGCAAAAGGTTTTAATATTACAGTGCACATAATTAAGATCTAGATCATTCATAGAACTGAACTGACAATAAAAGTCTAGAACCTTTCACATTGTTTCAACTATTTTCAAGCATTTTTGTTAAAACCTGTTAATATTTTTTCAGAAATTCCGCTTGCCATCTTAACCATCTAGTTTTCTAGCTGATATCATTGGGCTGCAAAATAAAAAAACAGCTGGAGATCTTCCTAAGACCACTAAAGGTATGGCTGACTCCAGTTTAATGATTTGCCCATTCTAAAAGATATGTTGGATGTGGTCAGGTTTATCGTTGCAGCTAACTTAATCAGGGTCCTGAGCATACTAGGCAAGTATTGTACCACTGAACTGTATCTCCAGCCCCAGCAATTTTTTTTTTTTAAAGGAAAAAATAGGCAGGTGCCCAGGGAAGTTATACATCAGGAATCACAGCCAGGGTTCATGCCTCAGAAACCATCTGATCAAGTTTGATAGCTAAGGATACCAGGTATCAGTGACAGTGGACTCTTAAAATTACTGTGAGTAATTTCTGAATTGTCATTGGATCTTCGTGCCACTATTGTAAAAGTGGGAAGGAAAATTGTGCCTTTAAGTAATGTAATGGACACTCTATTACTTCTCATAGTGAGGAATAGGTGGGAAATTAAGATGCTACAGTTTTAGCAATACGGCTGTGAACTACAGACCCCGCAATTAAAGCATCTTAAAGATGTATACCCATGGTGCAGTGTTTTTCAAACTGTGGATTCTGTCCTATTAGGAAAGCTAACCTTCTGTTTTTAGGAGCTGGGAGTAAGGAATGGAATAGAATAGGATTTATTTGTTTATTGCATATATAGTAAGGGTATTTTTTCAATGATACTTTTTTGTGTTCAGAACAATTATGTAACTGCTCTGAGGGACTTGAAAAAGTGATGAGGACTGACCAGTGATTCCTTCCCTTCTTTAGAACTGCGCTTCCTGTTTTTCTTTGTCTTAACAGCATCTTCTGATTTTCTACCTTTCAATTGTTCCCCTCTCCTTCTCATAGATGCCCCATCTTATCTGTGATTGTGTTTGATTTAACATACACTGTATTTTAAATATCTTTGAATAAATCATAGAGGAGATTTTTAGATTCAAATAAAGGTCCTGAGTGAAAGAAAAGGTATAATAAGAAAAAAGCAATTAAACATGGCTGAAGAATATCTCTTGTTGGGATGCTGAGGAGAATAGGAGGAGGTAGTGGTAAGAAGTGAAACAGGACCTGGCAGATTAAGATCATGTCCTACAGGCTTTGACTGCAGTA